AGGGAGGAGGGGAGATTTTTTGGGGAGGCGAAGTGAAGAGAAAAGGAAAGCAATAGAGATGAGGACAGATGCTTCTGAATTCCAGTAGGGGCGAGTTCAGACAGGCTGAAGGACAGCACCAGGGGGGAGGAGAAAGAGGGTGGGACGCGAAGTAGAAGGAGGAGGGGAAGGAGGAGGGAAGGAGAGGAGAAGACGTGCGCATCCTTACCCGAAGCCATCCACAGAGTGAGGAGGCCGACATCGAGAGTGGCGGCGACCTGCAGGGAGGAGGATGAGAAGCAGGAGGAGGGCTGAGAAGAGGAGTGACCGTCACGAGCACGGCAGATGCGGGAATGACGCAGAAAAACATGGCGATGCTGCTGCGGGTTAGAAGAGGAGGAAAGGAAAGGAATTCCCTCACCCGAGGAAGCGGAAGTCTCTTGCTCCCAGGAAGATCCCGTCGAATATGTAGGCCAGCGCTGCATGCCTGATGTCAAGACAGGAGAGGAGAGGAGAGGAGAGGAGAGGGAAGTGCGTGCTGTTGGGGGGAGGCGATAAGAGAAGATGTGCATGTGAGGGGAAGGAGATGTCTCTTGTAAGTGGGAAGGGAGAGCAAGAAGAAAACAGAGGATGTGTATGCGTATGTTTGTGTAAATGGGGATTGGGTTGAAGGAGGGCAAGGCAGGAGGGGTCAGACCTGCTGGAAGTTGGATGGCAGCAACCAGCGGCATTGCTCTCCTAGCCTCCGCAAGCACGTTGGGGCTGGTGGGTCACAGGTAAGGAGAGTTTCCTCCATGGACAGCGTCTCACTCTGTAGAAAATACCGACGCAATCGGCCCTGACGCCGCCCACAGTAGCCCTCCCTGTCCCAAGAGTCACTTGTTACTGGCCCTGGCCCTGGCCCTGGCCCTGCCCCCTCTGCCCGCTGCTGTACCACTCTGCTCTCCCTACCCAACTCCCTCCAATCCTCCTCTTCTCCAGCCTCTAGTGAGCTTTACCAGCACAGTTCCCGCAACTCCGCCGAGGAACAGCAGTCTCCTGCACAGCCTCCGCGCTGACACCCTTTCCTCACCCTCGTCAGCAAGAGAATCCTCGCCCACAGCTTCTCCTCACCTGTCCCCCTTGCCGATGTACATGGCGACCAACGCCTGCAAGGTTCCGATCATTTGGAGTGAATCGAGGAAGGATTGAGGAGAGAAAAGGATCCTCGTTCCTGAATAAGAGAGGGAGGGAGGACGAGAGATGGAGGATGGAGAGCAGGAAAGAAGAGACAAGAATTCAACCTGCGCCGCTACGGCAAGTCCGTCAACCACTAGAGCCTCGAGCGAAGAGCATTGACGAGCGATGGCGTGTGCAGCGATGACTGGCAAGGAAGGTGAGGAGGAAGACGGGAGGAGGAAGACGGGAGGAGGAGGACGGGAGGAGGAAGGCAGGTGGTGGAGGAGGAATGACAAGCGCAGTCACCTGCTGTTCCCATCCTGGCGCCGTAAGAGGTCATGACAGTGTAGAAGGCCTGCATGGACATTGTGCGGATGAGGAGAGCGCTGCCTGCTCTTGAGGTCACTGTAAAGGAGCGAGGAGGGAGAGGGGGGAGAGAGGCACTGGAAGCAGGAAACTAAAGGAAGTAGGAGGGAAGAGAGAGAAGGTTGACATGGAGTTGAAAGGAGGGGACAAGGAGGAAACAAAGACAAGCAGGGAGTGAGAGGACGAGGAGGTTTTGACCGGCTGAGAGGTAAGTGAAGATCTTGGTGATGTCAGGAAGCCTGCAGGATACTCTCAGGAAACTCCTGGCGCTCCTTTAGTCGGTCTTATCTCTACCTCCTCAAGTCTGAGATCTTCAAGATTCCATCTTGCACCAGGCATCGCAGCAGGAAGAGAGCTGGAGACAGAAGGTAAACGTGCAACCTCCTCGTCCTCGCCCTCGCCCTCGTCCTCGCCCTCGTCCTCCTCTGCTCCCTCCCCTATTTCATTCTGCACTCTTTCTCTAAATCTCACCTGCAAGATACTGGGAAATGACGACGGCCAGCGCTGCCCCTGTAAGCCAGTGAGAATAAAGATTGAGGAGGAAGACGAGGAGGCGGATAAGACGGTAATGGCGTGCACGCATAGGGGTGCATGGACGACGGGAAAGGATGAAGAGGGAACGATTGAGGAAGGATGGAGTATCGAGGTGGGAAGGAGGGAAAGGGAGGACAGAGGGAGGAGCGGAGCAGGTAGAAAGAGGAAGGAGAATTAGAACCTGACAGCCCCATCTCTAGTCCAAGAATGAAGACAGCATCCAGTACAAGGTGAACAGCACTGTGGCACAACCTTCATGTCAAGTCGCGCACGTCGGCTGAAGTTGGTCCCACCTTCCAGTCGCAATGGCGAGGAGAGGAGCTCGCGTGTTCTGATGCCCATAGGAAGCTCCCTTCGCTACCAGCAGCCACAGCTCCGCCTGACCAGAGCGATCGTAAACTCTACAGCTCTCGGCAGGGAGCAAGAGGGGAGTTGGGACCAGGAAAGTGCTGAAGCGCAAGCGGAGACGGGGAGCAGGAGGGACGAGGGATCGAAGAGAGGGAAAGGGAGTCGAGGGAGTGAAGGGGTTAGGAGGGGGTGAAAGTAGTACAGGAGCAGCGAAGGCTCGGATGATGAGGAAGGCTCGGGCGAAGGGAAAGATCTCAGCGTTGGATCCCATCGTCTTCAAGATGTTGTCCGCAAACTTGAACATGAGAGTTCCCAGCACGCATCCTACTGCTGTCGACAACCAGATCCCCTGACGGAAGGAATGAGATGGTTTGCATGGAGCGAATAGGAGGTGAGAGGCTCATGGCGACCAGGATGGGAGGACAAGGGGAAGGGGAGACGAGCAATGTGCTGACCTGAGCGACTAGCCGAGACGCCTCGTTGGGATCGTCACGAGCAAGAGCTCGAGCAACCTGCAGGTAGGGAGCAGGAGGATGAGCAACACGAGGGAGAAGGTTGCTTGTCTCACCATGGGAGTGGTGGCGTAGGAAAAGAAATTGAAGAGAGGGAAAGACACGGAGACCACCGACCCTCCAATACCTGCAAGCACACAATCACTCACCCTCATCTTCATCCTCATCTTCTCCTCTTGCTCTTTTCTCCTACTATCTCCCCCTTCCCTCTCCTCCTGTCCTCTTCCTCTGCTCTCTCTTGACTCACTGAGGGCTCCAAGTGGCGCAGCTCCCAGCCTCCCGACCATGACAGCTTCCAGCGTTCGGACCACCGGCTCAATGATGAGTGACCCCAGGGCTGGGATGGCGAGAGCGAAGATGGCAGCATCGAACTCTGCGAGCAAGCGTCATCACACGTACCCTCGCAACTCCTCCCTGACCTCGATCTGCCACAGCTCCCAGAAGTCCGTTTACAAATCCTCCCCCATGTCCCCTCCTGCACGTTAGAAAAGCAGCAAGTCAGCAGCGCTCAGACGCCCCGTTGAAGAGCGACGGACCTCGTCTCAGTCGCGCCATAGAGCCGAGCCTTCCCAGAGACGATTGAGCTATTAGTTGCCTCCGCCTTCTTCTCCTCCGACTCGCTCGCTTGCTCCGCACCCCTCAGAGCAGGTCTGTCCTGACATCTGACGCGAGACTTGGACTTGCCCAGCAGGCTTCTTGCAGGTTGCGATGTTGATTGAATGAGGATCGGATGACGTTGGAGACTACAAGGCAAGAACTTCTGTTGATGATGATTGCAACTCGCCATGCGCGGCTGAGCTCTGCCCATCATCGACGGTTGAAAAGCCTGCCGCAGAAGTCAGCATGCAGCCGACGGAGCCACGACAACAGGTATCGCTCATTGCAATGGTCAGACACTCTCTCAGCTTACATGTGTCTCGGAGCATCCCGTCAATATTGCTGCGACTGCAGTGGCAGTCACAGCAATTATCGACATGTTACCAATGTGGAGTTGGAGATCGGCAGAGGTACTATGCTCTGCAATGATATCATTTTCGAAGATGCTTTAGAAAGCTGCTCACATGTGCTGTTGCCGATCTCACAATCCCCCGGGAGATGTTCCAAAGCTCTGAATATGCATGTCAGGGAAAGGTTGAAAATTTCAAGATCGTTTTCAGCTGGCTGAAATGGAAAGACTGATTCAAACCCTACAGGGCAAATGCACTACATGTCATGTTTGTATGTATAGCAAAAAATCAAATATGCGCTAGAAGCTTATAGAATTATCCTCAATCTTCAACTTGCATGGAATGGCTGACAGACAACAAGAGAACAGACAACTTGAGAAAACAGGGAGTTTGTCATTCGGGAAAGAAAGTTGTGCTATCTTAATATTCGAGATGAGGAGACACACACCGCTATTCTTAGATGCAACAACAGAATACATGAAGCCATCTGGATCTTGCTGGTCCTGATGCTGTTGGAGCAATACAGATTTGCACATGGGCGCAACGGGGGTTCATGATCACACGTGCGAATAGCGAAAGGTTTCTTGCTATCAAAACGAGCAAAGAAAGATGAAAAGGATAAAACGATATGTGAGCTCAATTAAAGGTATGAAGCAAGAAAATAATACCATCCAACCAAACAAAAGTGTGAATAAAGATGCAGCGGTCTGGAATACAGCGGAAACGCCAAGGACTGGGCTAGGAGGATCCCAGGATGTGAAAAGAGAAAGGACAAGCAAGGAGAGAAGAGGAAGAAAATTGATATCAGAGAAGAGGAGGAGGCGAGGAGAGCAAAGGGGGAGAGAAGAAGATCAGCGAGGAGGACGAGAGAAGCAGATCAGAGGTGATAAGGAAGGAAGGATGAGAGAGGATGGGGAGGCGAGCAGAGAGTAGGAGGAGAGAGGAACATAAGAGGGTGAGAAGAGAGGAGAGAAAGACCAGATAGGAGGGGAGCGGGAGCAGGAGGCTCTGTGACAGCGACCATGACTCGGGAGGGGGCGGATGTGATCCGCCATGACGGTGGCCCCCCAAACCCTGGGCTCCGTGTGGGTAGGGTGGTGTTGTCCGAGGGGGTAGGGGTAAATAAACCTACTGAACACGTTGGGTGGGGGTGGTTGAGCACTGGTAAGTTTGCAGATGAAAGAAGGGGTGATCAGTGGTAGTTTCTGATTCAGATGGTAGGGTTCTGATTTTGTAGCTGAAGAATGGGTGGGGGTGTCGATTTGTCATGGTTATGGTAAATGGGGTCATCTCTGAAGGGGTAGGGTCAATCCTAGTGACAAAGTGGGGTAGAAAATGAGACAAGAATGGGTGGTCTGAGCGCACGTGTGTTAGGGGTGGGTGGGGGTGATCAACACCGGGACAAAGTGGGGGGTTGGGGTAGTGTTGGAGGCGTTGTTGAGTACCGGTACTTTACCCCAGTAGATTGAGGGCTGGGTAGTTCTACGTTTGAAAACAAGTTGAAAGGTCCATTCATATTTGAAAACTAATAATAGAATTTCAATGATTCTAACGAATTAATATTTTCAAATGCTTGGGCTTCTTTCCAACTCGAAGGAGCTAAAAATGAAAATTCAAGTCGAAATGCTTCAGGCGTGTAGACGGCGTGCAATGGTGGCGGCGGTAGGACGGCTGTAAGATTGTCATCAGAGCACGCAGAGAGAGGAAGAGAATGCCTATCACCTCATCACATTCGCATCTAGACATGCCTGATCGATCGATGTGAGAGAACTTACATATGTCGACAAGTGAACTTACCTCGGCAACCTTCCTCAGCCTGTCCAGCGTCTCCTTGCCTTCTCCCTCGTTGCTGTAGCCCTGCTGTGAGAACTTGTATCAAAGTACTTCATAGAGCTACCCGCCCTCGACACGGCTCACGAGCTCCAAGATCTGGTGCGGCATGTCAACGTCTTGGATCAGGGAGGGGCATCATACCAATCTCCCCAGTGCAAGAACATCAAACCGCTGAACTCTCTCCCCGTCGATCAAGGAGTCCTTGACATCTTTCTCATAGAGAAAGCTTGCCCCAAAGTCCAAGATCTGAGCCCAACCTGAGCAGTAGCGATTCAGTGAGACATTCGTCTTGCCTGCATCAAGTACCAATCGAGGTGTCCGCCATGATGTTGTGGGCGTATAAGTCCCCATGGCAGATTCCCTGTGAGACGTTGGCAACGGCATCAAAAGTGGAGAAAGAAAACTAACCGCAGAGTGGATGGCTGCTAGTCCCGAAGCCACCTGTTGCCACTTGAAGTCATTGTTGAAGTTCCATACAAGGCTCATACCTGCTGCAGTATCTTCAAGCAATTTGCGGCTGACATGGTAAAGTCTGTTGCAGGCATCTCATCAACAGGAGGCCGAAGACTCTACAGGAGCATGAAGCCTCATCCATGGGGCACTCACCCCGATAAGTATCCCGCGTGATGGTCGAGAAGGATGGAGGAGATCCAAGGTTCTTCGAGCTTCTTCGAGAGATTGTAGTGACTGATAGAGGACGTTAGCTTACAAACAAAGTTGCAGTCAGCACCAGCTGCGAGCATCGGTTTGCGAATGACTCCCAGGAGGCGCTGTAGGACGGTGAGCGCACAGCAACGACGACAGCAACCAGCATGTTCACTTGGACGTGGGTGCTGTTGACGATGGAGGAAATAGCTAGCTCATCGAGCGGAGATCTGAAGCGTACATGTCAGCCCAAGAGAATCATGTGAGAAAGAGGTCAACCCATCTGATATCGCGTTGAACTTGTGGAAGAACTTGATAGCAACTGCAAGGAACAATCAGACAAGATGGTGTGTCATGCACTTCTTACCCTCCTCTTTGGTCTCCTTCGATATAGCCCTGTATACCTTGCCCGACGCTCCCTAAGTCTCTTTCAGTGGCTGGCAGGTCGCTACTGCACGTGCCCATGTACCTTTCCTAGACGCTCAAAGATCTCAAACTGATCGACAGTGTTCTCGGGAACCCTGAACAGACAAACTTCAGGTTAGGTGAATCGGCAGCACCTTGACCGTATGGACGGGACAGGAGGAGTCATAGGATTGCTCCCGATAGCAAACCATGCGAGTGCTGCTCATCCATGATTATGAGAGAGGAGAAGTCAAGGCTCAACAATAATCTCGCACATGGGAGGTCAAATATCTCCTTGGGAATAGATTTCAGCTCGTTCTTCGACAGTCTGATGAGCTCCAGCTTCTTGCACTGCCACGAAACGTTATCTTTCTGCCGCGGGCAAGTAGTTATTGGATCACCAAGGCAAGTTCAGAAGGAAGTGATGAGAGCTTGTTGTTTGAGAGCATGATCTTCTGAAGCTCGGTCAACTTTCCGATCGAGCTCGGCAGATTTCTTAGTGAGTTGTCCGTCAACACCAGAGACTTCAATGCGACAGGCAAATCATCTCCCAACTCGACAAGTTTGTTGCCTTTGAAGCTGAGGATTTCTAAAGAGTTCAACTTTCCCACCACCGCAGGAATGCTTGAAAATTGATTCCCCAGGAAGAACAAGATCTTGAGAGAAATCAAGTTCTCAAATTGGCTCGGAAGGGTTGAGAGTGAGTTGTTGCCAAGATTCAACAGTTCAAGACTTCGCAGTTTGCAGATCTCAACAGGAAACTCACTGATTTGGCAGCCCGTCAAGTCCAGTCGTCGCAGCTTGCTGAAACCTCCTCTTTGTATCTTTTCAATGAACCAAGAGAGTCTTGCTGGGTCATTCTTTAACGAGAACTCGACCGTGTCTCTATGGTCACTGGTCGTGCTGGGGTTCGGACTTGACACCATTCTCAAGTCAGCAAGTGGCTTGACAGGAGCGCTCGTCTCATCCTTTTGTGCGCGTCCCTCGTTTGGATCCTTCGTGTCCTCGACCAACCTCGTCAGCGAATCTTGGTGCCGCTGCTGCTGCACCAGCCTTGACGTGTTGTCTCTGCAATCCTTGCCCCTGCACTCCCTACCCCCGGAGCCGCCTGACCGGTTGCCGCTGAGGTCCACAAAGACCACCCAACACGCCCATAGCAGCACTAGCGATGCGATGGCGCAGGCGTTGACCCTGTTCCCCATGACGGGAGACAACATCCTGAGGATAGTTTTCTTGTCTCCCTTCAAGGCCCGCAGATAGTGAAGAGACGTCTCAACCAGCGCTGCCACAGCGGATCCTAACAATGTTTCAGGCAGCTTGCAAATTTGCGCACAAAGAGATTCTTCTCGATAGCCTTCAAGGTCTCGAATATCTCCCAAATCCCCCCCCCGCCCCTCCGCCCCACCTCCTCCTCCATTTGCTCCCGATCCTGCTCCTGCCTCCTGCCTCCTGCCTCCTGCCTCCTGCCTCCTGCCTCCTGCCTCCTCCTGCTCCTCCTGCTCCCTGCTCCTGCTCCTGCTCCTCCTGCCCCTTGATCCTGATCCTCCTGCCTCCTGCTCCTGCCTCCTGATCCTGATCCTGATCCTCCTGCCTCCTGCCTCCTGCCTCCTGCCTCCTGCCTCCTGCCTCCTGCCTCCTGCCTCCTGCTCCTGCTCCTGCTCCTGCTCCTCAGTCCTGCTCCTACCTGGTATCTAAAAGGTGTGATGATGCTGGGCAGGGACTTTCCTTTCCATATATTGACTGAAAAAGAAAGTCAAACCTTTCCACTACATCTGCCTCAGATCCTCGCTGAAACTGGGCCGAGTGCTCAGGCTGCCGATCGGACAGTAGCACCGCCGGGCCGGGAGGCCGGCGGCCGGTCACCACCGGGCCCGAGTCGCACGGAGTGTCGTTAACTTTGAGTAAAAGGTCGTACTGGCAACTTAACTTGAAGTTTGAGTGAACTTTGTGAGAAGACTCGGACGGCCCGCAGTTCCGTTCAAGTCTGGCTGCGTATGTGACAGCAGCACACATTAAGACATGGAGCTAACAATCAAAATGCTGTCCTTGTAATGTCGTATGAACTATCTTGAGGCGAGCTTGATGTTGCTAATTAACTCCTTGCGGATGAGTAAAACTTTAGAGCTGGACCTTATCGGAGCCTGCTGACGGATACGAAACCGTGATGAAATGAAAAGTTGCGTTCTCTGTCTTTACTACTACTCCATCCCAAGATCGCAGCGAAGCATGCTGCAGGGCGGTACCTGTGGCAGAGTTTCACAGAGCAGCAGAGCCAGGAGTACGAGAGGGTCTAGTGTTTGCTCTAGCAGAGCTCGATGGTGCTATGCGCTGGTAGCTCATGTCTTAGCCGTGTGTGCGCGTCTTGAAGGAAGTAGAAACACGTACCTGAGGCATAGACCCATCAGCTTGCGCTTATCAGCGCTCATGATGGCAGCTGGCTGACTTACCTGTCGCAGACATCAGCAGGAGGATGAAGAAGATCAGGTTTGCTTGCAGGCCCTGCATCGATTCGAAGCACAAGTGCGACACCTTCCAGCCATGCTCGAGGTGAGGGGGTGGAAGGGGGGGGGGGGGGGGCGAGGATTGCGAGGGGAGCGGTGGAGGGGAAGCTGGCAGGCGGGCTGGCTGGCAGCTGACAACCTTTGTGTCGTATCATGTGTGACGTTTGTTGTCATGGGGGTGCAGGTGCGTCAAGCACAACATGGCAGGGCGTTGCGTGAGACTGAGAGTGTCGAAGCCCTCGAGGACCAGGAGCTTGGTCGCGTGCGTTGTGTGCAAGAGATCCAAGGTCAAGTGCGACGAGGGCCGACCCTGCTCCCGCTGCAGGGGTCGATTGAAAGAGGAGCAGTGCGTGTACGAAGACATGGAGCTGATAGTCACGGACGACGGGATGCGAGAGGTGGAGCAAGCAGACCTTGCCCTGGCGCATCAGAGGAGGCGGATGGGAGAGCTGCGGGTGGAGAGACCGCTAGACTTCTGGATCCGAAGCGTGTCGTTCGACAAGCCGTCAGCTTTGCGGGAGCAGATGAACTCGATGGGGTGGCCGGATCGCGTGCTGGCGAGGCACTGGGAGTTCGGCTTCAGCTCGCAGGAGCTGATGAACACCTTCCTCTATCTTCCTCCCTACCTGCAGCAGGTGACACGACGAGCGCTGCATGCGGTAGAGATCATCATGGCAGACAAGATCGAGAAGCAGTGTCGGAGAGTGGAGGACCACCTGCTGATGGGGGGAGGCGAGACAGAAATGAAGCCAGACTTGGAGCTAGACCGAGCATTCTACGACCAGCAGACCTTTGGGATGGTGAAGCAGCATCTGCATCCGTCGACGGGGCAGCGGGCCCATGTGTTTGCTTCCGATGCCACGTCGAGGCTGATAGGCTTACATGAGGAGGAGCTGCTGGCGAGGATAGCGAACAGAGAGCTGCGGCTGCCTACAACAGAGTTTTCCTACTTCTGCTACGTGATGTACAGCACCTGGTCGTTTGCAGTCAGACCGGGACAGCCGATGATGATGCAAATCAGACTCCGAAATTTTCGAGACGAGACGGGGGCAGAGTGTGTGGGCGTGAAGCTAATACAGCAGGAGGAATTCGACAGCTACGGGCGACCAAGAGCAATCAAGGCGTATTTCGTACCGGTGAGTTAGTGGGAGGCGGAGAGGGAGTAGAGAGCTAGGGAGGGGGGACTTGACTGGGGTGAGTGCGTTTACTGGTCTGACAATCTGTGCTTGCTGCGGGGCAGGTGGATCGGGGGGAGTACGAGTCAGCCGTGATGCCGTCGGAGGGGTCGAGTGCGAGAATACAGATGCACTTGAACGCTGGACGAGACTACGAGGCATGGAAGAGCGACTTCGTGTCAGACTTGTACGCGGTGAGAAGGGAGAGGGGACTGGAGGAGAGAGGGGGGAGAGGGAACCTCCGGGTGGGGCCTGAGAGCTTCGGGCGCAAGCGCGCTGATGGAAGATGTTGTGTCTGCAGGACGAGACGATCATGGGGATGCAGAAGTCAAGGGAGGGGATACAGCGACTGCACGCACTAGCGGAGGATCTTGAGAGGATGTACCAGCCGTTCCTGGAGCGGGCAGAGAAGATCCTGCATGAGAGGACTGAGGGGCAACATGGCGGCAGCAGCTCGTCTGGGGCTTCTGTGAAAGAGGGAATAGCTGTGGCAGCCCAGCCGTCTGTGCTCAGTCCTTGTGGTGTTGCCTCGGCCGCTAAGAGGGACGGTAGGGGTAGTTAATGGTACAAAGTTGAGTTGGAAAAATTCTATCATGAGAAACTCTGAAATGAACCGTTCCGTGGCACCGTTGCCCCGTCGGCCTGTCATAGCTCACTCTCACACCGGGGCTGCAAGCCGGGGCTTACCGGCGCTGACTTGGCATAGTGCCAGTCCCGGGCCTTCACTGAGGTAGTCACGGCCCTGGCCGGCCCAGTGACGGTGGGCCAGTGCGGCAGTCACCGTGAGTGCGGGCCCCGGGCCTGGCCCGGGCAGTCAAGCATCTGAGGCAGGCTCACCTAGGTGTGATGGCGGACGGCGGGAGGGAGGGAGTCATCGATCTGACGACGGGGGAGGAGGAAGAGGGAGGTAGGCAAGTCCCCTCCTCTTCCTCGAGCTGACGACCGGCAGGAGCAGGAGCTTCTCTCTGCTGCCGAGACGTGTCGGTGGGGAAGGAGAAGACGAAGGGGGTACTCCATCTCAGGAGCTCGAAGTTGATCTTCTTGCCCTACAAGTTCGGTGAGGCGTGCTGGAGGAGTGGATGAAGTTTTCAAGTTGGACGCTGACGATGTTGCTCGTCAGACAACAACAGGGTTGAGGTTGACTGTACCCGGGTCAGCAGCCTCCAGGTTCCACGTCGGGTTGCAGTCTGCTCGCTGAACCTAGCGCAGGTCAGCAAGACGGGAGGATCGAAAGCGCTGCTGCGGCTGAGCATCAGCGGAGGAGAGGTATGCCAGCGCTGATGTCAGCACGAGCAAGGAAGGAGAGGCTGACAGCCTGCAGGACGTGACTTTCGACTTCACCGGGGCAGGAGATGGGTTTTCCTGGAGAGACACGTTCAAGGTTCAGGATCAGACAGCTCGTGTCGCACCTGACGGCAGCGTCGTGCCAGGATGCAGCAGCAGAAATCATTCGATCCTCCACCAGCAGCTCTTCTAAGAAGCAGGTGAGGCCAGTGTGATAGCAGGGGAGATTGTTTGACTCGTGGGCAGCAGTCGGGGAGCAGCGGCGGAAAAGGAGGCGGGGCAGCACCAGAGAAGAAAGCAGCCAAGGAAGAAAACGTGGAGCAACACAGACTAGACGCCTCAACCATCTTCAAGTATCATCTCCTATCTGATCAGTGATTGTACTCATTGGGAACAAGGTACTTCAAGAAATACCCCAAGTTGGCCAAAGTTTATGAAGAGCAGGTATGTGTTGAAAAGATCTTCTCAGCTGGCGTTCATGCCCCATGCTGGGAGATTGACTTGTACAGGTTCCTCATGCCATGAGCGAGCAAGAGTTCTGGAGGCGATTCTTGGAGGTGAGGAGAGGAGAGGAGAGGAGAGGAGAGGAAGAGGATAGAGGAGAAGAGAAGAGAGGAGATGAGAGGAGAGGGGAGGTGAAGTGAGGAGATGATCGAAGATCGATCTACCAGGCAAAGAAGCTTCGAGAAAGTTCATCAGCAGAAAGTGACATCTCAACCTCTATCATGAACAAGTCAGAAGGTTCAAGCAAATTTCAGACCGGCTCTTGTAATTCGATGAAGTACAGGAAAGGAGACAAACAACGCTGGGCACAGCAATGTGTGTTGATTTCCGCTCCTGCTCTGCTTCTTGTCATGAGTCCTGCTGCTCGCAGAGTTTTCGAGCTTCGCACTTGGCACTTGATCTGACTGCAATAGAGAACAGTGCGTCACTGAAAGCATCAGCTTCTCGTAGGCAAGAGAATGAAGGAAACCGATGCGACGTGTGGAACTCATGCTCTGTGTTGTAACCTCAGGTATGAAGAGACATGTCACATGGAAAGGTCGGCGATTATAGGTGAATGAAGATTCCTTGTCATGAAATGCTTGATGTTGACGATGGAGATGATGATGATGATGATGATGATGATGATGATGGAGATGATGATGATGGAGATGATGGAGATGATGATGATGATGGAGGAGATGATGAA